CTGGCCAGCCCCGCCGCAGACGCGGTCCCCCAAGCGGGACAGAGCCAAGCCTGGACGGCAGCGACTGGGCGCACAGTAGGCGGGGCTGAGCTTGGGAACCCCACCTATCACGGGGGTGGGGTGGGGCAGGACAGAGCCTGGGACACACCCACTGAGCCATGGGCGGGGCGAACGCACACGCACCCACTTGATTGTGGGGCGGGAATGGGCCAGCGGGCGGGGCTTGCCCTGTGCGGCAGAAGCGGCTGAGCTTATCTTAATCAATGACAGTTAAATAGTCTACAACACTCTCTGCTGGGTTGGGCTCTGGCATCTTGGTTTCTGGGGGCCTGAGTACGGGGGAGATGGCGCTGAATCCCTGTGGAAGGATATCTGGGTGCAGGCAACCCAGTTTCCTGAGCACGAATGCAATATTGAAGCCAAGCCCTCCTAAGAGGTGGACTCTGGCTTTCAGTCTATGGCGGGTGAGGAGGGTTGAGGTTTCCGTGGATCACCAATCCAGGGTTGCTGGAGGGGCGAGCTCCAGCCTCCCCTTGGCTCCCCCACGATAGGCAGAGATAACCAGCCAGCACAGCCAAGGACTTCCTATCCCATTTCCTGTGCCCCAGCATGACCTCTCTAGCACCTGAGGATTGAGTCTGTAAAGTCAGCTGTCATCTTGGGTGTCTCCTGCTGCTTGGTGCTGAGCCACTCAGGGAATGGGGGGAGGGGGTGCTCCACTTAGCCACTCCTGCACATCCCTGACCTTGTCTGCCTCTCGCCCCCGAAGAGATTAGTGTCCAGGTTACCCCGCCATGCCACCACCCCCAGTGGCCTTGCCGCCCCCACAGCCTACAGGTATAAGACCAGGTAAACACTGTAGGGAGGTACCAAGGATGGAGATGCTCCAGGTAAGACTGTAGGGCCCCTGGGTACCTTGCGACTCCACCCAGGCCACAGTTGGCAAGAGGGAGTCCTGTGACTGGGTGAAGGAAGTCACAGGACTTCTAGAAGGGTGTGGGCACCCAGCCGGCTTCCTGCTGGGAGGGGGGAAGCAGTGGACAGGGTCTGAGTGTGGGTATCTGGGGTCCCTGTGTATCAGGATGGGGAATCAAAGTGAAGGGGCTGGACTTGCATGGAATTTGTCAGGCCAGGAGCTGGCCCTGAATGTGTGTGGGGGAAATGGGAGGGTAAGGGCTGGGACAGAGGTCTCAGGCTGGCCCTGAGGCAGTGGCCTTATCCCAGGGGCTGCTGTTGTGGCTGTTGCTGAGCGTGGGTGGGATGCGGGCATCCAGGGGGCCACTGCGGCCGCTGTGCCGGCCCATCAATGCCACCCTGGCCGCCGAGAATGAGGCCTGCCCAGTCTGCATCACCTTCACCACCAGCATCTGTGCCGGCTACTGCCCCAGCATGGTGAGCTGCCCAGAGCTGACGGGGACCAGCTCTGCTGGCCTGAGCTGGTCCTGCCACCGGAGCACCAGGGTAGATCAGTCAGGGCCTGGCCCACAGAAGACAGGTGGCAGAGGGTGGAAGAGTGGCCTACTCCCCTGGGTTGGGGCGGGGGAATTGGAGTCAGCTGGGCATGTGGGAGGGTGAGTACAGAGGGTCCCCTGGATACTTGAGTCTCGGGTTTTGGGGGGCAGGGGGAGATCAGGGGAGGGCTTGGCCCTGGGCAGATGCCCATGCCAATCTCACTCCCTGCCCCGGCCTCCAGGTGCGGGTACTGCCGGCCCCTCTGCCGCCTGTGCCCCAGCCGGTGTGTACCTACCGTGAGCTGAGCTTTGCCTCCATCCGACTCCCTGGCTGCCCGCCTGGTGTGGACCCAATGGTCTCCTTCCCTGTGGCCCTCAGCTGTCGCTGTGGGCCCTGCCGCCTCAGCAGCTCTGACTGTGGGGGTCCCAGAGCCCAACCCTTGGCCTGTGACCACCCCGCCCTCCCAGACCTCCTCTTCCTCTAAGGATCCCCCTACCCCAACCTCCCATGCCCATCCCGACTCCTGGAGCCAGCAGCCGCTCCTCTCTCCCAATAAAGTCTTCTCAAACCGCACCCTGGGGCTGCCTGTCTTTGAGCTCTGGGTGCACATGCTCGTGAACACACAATACACACACGATGGGTCCAGTTTCAGAACCATTTTATACAAAGTCACAGTGTCAGAACTCTGGTAGAAAACAGGGAGGGGGAGAGGGGAAGGGGAACAGCAGCAGCTCAGGAAGTGTCCATGGTCTCACCTTCTGTGGGGAGGAGAAAAGCCATGTGGTCACTGTGGCCCAGAGGCCAGGGCCTGAGCTCTCCAGGCCAGGCTCCCTCCCACCTCTCCAGACAAGCCACCCTGGGGCCTGGGGGTGGGGGGATGACACTCACTGAGCTCATTAAAGAGGAAGGCGTCCTGGTACTCCTTCATGTACTGCGTGGAGCGCGACTCGTCCAGGAAGAGCGAGTAGACCCGCTTGATGTCGTCCACCTGCACCTCTGTGCCCTAAAGGGGGACAGTGGACCTCAGTGTGGCCCTCCCTGGGAGGGTCACGGTAGGGACTCGGGCCACATCACTTGGGTTCAAATCTCGTCTCAGCCTCTCCTGGCTGTGGGCCCAATCTCTCCATTCCTCAGTTTTTTCAACTGTAAGATGGACTTAACAGTATCAACTCTCAGTCAACAGATGTTTATTGAGCACCTACTATGTGTCATGCTGGGAGACACAGAAATAAACCTAAGAGAACAAAGTTCCCTGCCTCTGAAGATGTATATTCTACGACTAAATTCGACAACCCACTCAAAGCACTTGTAGTAGTGGATCAGTCACTGAACCTAGCCCCAGGGCTCACTAGCTGGCTGACCTTGCGTTTCCGACACACCAGGCTGGCGGCGGTGATGAGCTGGATGGCATAGCGCAATGAGGTCTCCAGCCCGATGCGGGTCAGCACTGTGTAGGCGTCTTCACTCATCTCCACGTCTTCCTCCTCGCATCTGCAGGAGGGTGGGGTGGGGGGCTCAGACAAGGTCAGGCCTCTGACTGCAGCAAGCCCCTGGCCCTTTCCCCTGGAGAACATGTGGAGCCTGCATCCTCAGAACTGCAGAACACTGAGCAAGAAGGGCCACTGAGGCACAGGCTGGGCCTCTTGATTCTCCCCATGTCAGTCACAGTACCTCCCCTCCCTTCCCCACAGGGGCCCTCATCTTGCATCAGAGGCCACTGCCTGGATGCCCCACCCTACATCTTGCAGGCCCAGAGACTTTGGGTCAGTCATTAACCCCCAGATCTGTGTCCCCATTTGTCAAATAGGGTGGACACCAGCCCTGCCTCGCAGGCCCATATCCTGGCCCTGCCCGCACCGGATGCGGAGGATCTGCTTCGTGTCCTTCTCGCTGTAGGGGGAGGTAGAGACAATTAGAAGGCGGTCCAGCAGGTCAATAGGGATGCCGTGGGGGCTCTGGTAGCTGGTACCCCGGATTCTGAAGAAAAAGGGAAAGGGAGGGCGCTCAGGGTGATGCTCCCAGAACCTGGCTGTCCATTCCTTCTATTGGGAATCCTCCCTCCCACCCCCTCCACCACAGCCCACTCACTGGGCCAAATACCACTTAACCTTCAGCCTACAGCTGGCGTCAGTGCCTGACTGCGCAGCCAGGCCCCACTGCGTCAATCCCGCTGGAGAGCCCGGCTGGTTTTAGCTGGATAGCTAGGTCTGGGATTAGCAGATCAAGGTCCCACTCCCCTGCTTGATACAAGGGAAGGGACTGTGCGGGCCCTCTTCCTTGCTGCGCCTGGCCCAGCACAGGGCATGGCATGTGGCAGGCGCCAGGAAATACACATAATTCTTATGAGTGGTGGGAGTTACGTTCTATGAAATGGGGGTAAACACTCAATCAGCAAACACTGAATCACTGCTCCTGGGGGAAATACACGGTTAGGTTCTTGTAAGCCTCTGGTCACAGTATTTTTGTCAACCAACCAGGCAGTATACTGCCTAGTTTTATGTGCTTCTGTTTAAAGATGACTTATTTAATATATGTTATTGATGCATTCCCACTGAACTCACAGTTCACTTTGCTGTAACTCATGCCCGGGCTACGGTACTTGTGAGGAGCCCACACCTTCCCAACAAGGTGCTCAACAAACACACCGTTTACCCTGTGGCTGTACTCACCGCCCAGAGCACCCCTTTCCCCAGAGGCCTTGAGGGGCCCACAGCCAGCTCACCGGGTGATGCCGCGGTTGGTGGCCATGATGAGGACAGGTGCCATGTCACTCTCCAGCGCCCGGTTGAGGAAGGAGAAGCTCTCGATGTCCAGCATGTGAACCTCGTCAATGAACAGCACCTGGGAGCAATTGGGGCACATGTCACACCCACCACCTGTGTCCCCTCTTCTCCCACTGCCCCCCAAGCCACCACATCCGGTCCGCACCCCAGGGATGATCTCCGCCTTGCCCTCCTCACGCCACTCGGCCACCTTGGCGTTGATCTGCTCACGGACTTCTGACTTGATCTCCCCTGTGTCGCCTGTGGGAGGCAGGGTGGTAGAGGGCAGGGTCAGAGAGGAGGCAGGGATCCAGGCCAGAAGTTGGTGAAGACAGAGGAGGACGAGGCAGCAGGGATAGGGGAAGGGAGACCAAGGCTGGAGTGGCA